ATGATAGTAGTGATAATGATTATGTTCCTTAATATATAGTTAAAAAAAAATTATTATTTGTATGTTATATTGTCATTCTGGCAAAAAAAATATTAAATAAAGAAGAAGCCCCACAGCCTTCCCATATTTTATTTTTACATGATTCTTGTAATGCAATTTGTGATTATTAACCTATACTCTTATAGTTACTATTGAGATTGAATTCTGATATTTATTTATATAACAATAGAGATGATAAGTTTTTGTATTGATATAATCACTACTTCCCCAAATACCCTCTATATGATTTCTTATATTTTCTTTTTTATGGTTTTATTATATAAAGAGCGGGTACTGATTTATTAAAATTAAAATAATTACTATATTTAAAACTATGTTTCAAAGTTAAATAAAGAAATCGTTCTAATACTATTTTAATAACATGTTGTTGTCTTTCTTCGGGGTCTTTAGACAGAACAGAAATTGGAAATTGCTATTTAGATGGCGTAGATTGAATATTTTTTTGCTGTACCTTTACCTGCGAACTGTCTTGTAAGATACAATTATCAGTCTTTTTGATTTGTAAAAGTTCCAGATTTTCAGACTTTATCCAAAGATCAAATCCAGTTTTATTCTTTTACCTTTTATATAATCTAGAATGAATTTTATTCGTCAAAATACCTGGCAATTCTGTTAATTTAGCTTCTCATTCCAAATATTTGGGAGTTAATGTTTTATTAGCTTTTGCCTGTGTATCCATGTTCTCATTTTATGTATATGACTATATATCTTTCTAAATTAACAATAACTAACAAAAAATAAATATGCCTCAGAAGACTTAAGCGAATTGTGCTAGTATAAGTTTAAAGTTTATGCTATTACTTCAATTTTAATTTCACACTGTTCACATTTAATATAGTAGGATCCAACTTCATATTTGTCTCCTATACTATCATCATCATCATAATCTAACTTGCATAGCAGGCATAAAGATTCATCAGTAATTCTATAATAATCATCATTTTTATTACTACCTTCTCGATATAAATTAGGATATTGCTTTAATGTTTTATTACAGAAATAAGCATGATTACGAGTTGGATTAGATGGAGATATAGGTGATGCACTTACCTCACTTTCTGCTAAATCATTTGGGTTAGACGATTTAGTTACATAAGAGTGAGACTTAAGGTCACACAGTACATATTCCACCTTGTTAGAAGTGAAAGTATCCTTACTATTTCAGGATTTTTTGGTAAAATGTTTTATAATATATTGAATTTGCGAGTTAGAGAGTTTTGATATTCTATTCGCACTATAAGATTTAACCTATTTAATCTTATTCTTTTCTATACTGTTAAATAATTTATAAATCTTACAAGCTCTTTGAGTTTGCTTGTGAAAATTCTCACATAAGACACCAGAAAGACAATCCCAAATTTCATTATAAGCTTGAATTCTTGCCAAGTCATCTGCTCTTTTATTATTTTTGCAAATAGATAAATTACCATTAACCCTCCTTTTGAAACCTTCTGTATAATAATACCAGCTTAAAATTTCTTCTTGCTTAGCTTAGATAGTATTCTTTTTAGCTTTCCTTGCTTTTTGATATAAATAAGCTAATTCGATAACAATATATTTGTTATTTTCTTCATTTTCATTGTGATCTAATATATCTGGCTCTTTATTTTTAATAACTTCAATTGATTCTTCTGATATGGATTCCAAATATAATTCTTGTATAAATTTTTGCATCTTAATTTAGTTATTCTTCTGAATTGAATCGTTTTTAGTTTCAGTTACATGAAGGTGAAACCAGTGATCGCAGGGTTGATACTTGGTCATAATATTTATTTCAGAAGAAATGATACTTTGTGCTTGGTTATAACTTGGGTGGACAACTATATAATCATGTAAATCTTTTGTTTTTTCAGGCTGTATCAGCACTGATTTGCTATTTTGCTCAAGTGTACTTTCGGTCTTACTTTTTTACTACATAATTCTTCAACCGATATAGAGGATAATTCTTGTTTCTGAAGTTTCTTCTCTCTCTGAATTATCTCTTTACTAATCTTTTCTTTATATGTTGAACCCAGGAATTCATCGACTGCATTATTTTCCAATGATTTACTCTCTTTGTGAATAGGTAATACAGTATATTGGGATGAAGACTCATGACATATATCAGAATTCAAAGTGTTATCGAATATATTATCAGAATTAATTTCGATCTGTTTAGGTGTATCATCAAAATTTGTTTTATAAGAGGCATTGGCCATACTGCTGATATTAGCCGAAGATTGTTCTTTTAGAATAAATATATCTACCTGTTTAGTCTCCCCAGCATTCTTACTTCGTGAGTCATTTTGTGATAGCTTTTGTTTTAATTTTGCAACTCTGGATCTAAGCTTAATATTTTCTCTTGCAGATTATTTTAATTTTACAATTCTAACCTCAAGCTCATTTTTTTCTTTCATGATTTGTTCCAATTCTGCGATTCTAGCCATAAGTCTAGCATTCTCCTGCTTCAATAAATCTAGTTCAGATTTGGAGTTTTCCATTGTTTTATATAAGATGTAGATATGTTCAAAAGTTTGTATTTGTATTTTTTATTTATATTTTTTTATTTGTATATTGTTGTTCGTTTGGGCAACAATTTTTATAAAATAAAGAGGGGTTCAGTGACTTCGCCATTTTAACACGATTGTGTAAATCGACTCCACCCATAACTTTATTAAATTAATAATTTCTGAAGCTGTCTTAAAAAATTGCCAAGAAAAATTTTCGATATGCAAGTAATGTACATTAATAATAATATAATAAAATAAATTCATGAAATATATACACAAAATTTAACTGATTATGTATACAAATTGATCACCAGGGCCAGCTTTATTGATAATTGCCAAATCAAATTCCAATATAGCAATAATACAAAAATGTATTTTTTTTTATTAATAGATTAACAAATATTAGATTACATTCATCTATGCTAAACTTAATTGATTTACTCTTAATAAATTTCAATATTTATTTTGATTTTATAATAAAGTTGTTGTTCGAAGTATCTTATTCAACAAATTAGTATCATGGTTTTTTGTAACTAGTTTCTTATCTTTAGCACTATCCGGCTATTCAATATCATCATGGTTTATAAAGTGAAAATAACATGCAGAATCAACCTCTCCAGACCATTCAAAATCGATCAATTTTACATCAAAATCATTATTTATAAGTCAACAAACTAGGATGTTTCCTTTATGCAAGTCTCTATACACATGTCCTGCATTATGCAAATATCCAACAATTTCTTTGATCTTCTCTCTTAAATGATTTTGTTCTTTAATAGAGGTGAAGTAATTTAATATTGAATAATCTTTCAAGTACTTCATATAAACTATAAGCCAATTTCCTAAAATAATTAAACTAGCGAGAACTTTTAAAGCATATCTAGCTTTTACTAATAGCTAATATGTATTAAGTAAATATTTATCCTTTTGAACAACCTTTACACAAGCTCTTTTAGATTTAGATGGCTCTTGTTTGTTATAGAGTATTACTATTCAAAGAAGGTAATCATCAATTTTGCAATCAATTTCAATGTTATAATATTCATTGTTAATAATAATATTGAGAAATGATGGGAATGATAGATTCTTAGTGTAGTTTTGAACTAGGTTTCCAACTTGATTATAGTCTTGATAAAGAATTTTAAGAGATTTCTTTAAAGCACAAAATGTTCTAAAAATTAATAGCATCATTTTATCATGTTTCTGCCAAATAAGGGGAAAAACTGGGTAAGTGGGTCTATAATTGGAGAGGAGTTAATAGAAAAAGAACAAATTTTTTCTAAGTAAAGGTTTTCTTGACTTTAAGCTTATATATCTTAGCAATTATTTTATTAAATTTAATAAATTTTTTTTTATTTTAATTTTATAACTTCAAGATTAAAATAAAAAAATTTTTAACAATTTTGATTAAATAGTTGTTGAGATCTTTTAATTTAAAAATTAAAAAAAAAATTACTAAAAATGATTTGTTCTTTTTCTATTGACTCACTCCCAATTGTAATATCTGCAAGCACAGCACTGAAAATGGAAAAATAAGGCTCTAAAGTGCAATCAAAATCAATCGAAATCAATCAAAAAAAAATATCAAGCTAAAATTACAATACCTACAATTGTAACTAAAAAGCATGGAAAATTAGTTATATAAGATGAAGAGATATTTGAGCTACTATTTGCTTGTTTGTTGTATAAAACTAAATAATAGTTACAATTTTCTAAATAAGGAGAAATATTGGAGCAATAGTCATTACTTTTATACTTCAAGTTAGCCACACAGTGCTTAGAAAAGAACACAGTATCATCAGTACGTGCATCTTTTAAATTACTATCAGAATCTTTGTGTTTAATCATAAGTAACTCCACTAAATAACTGAGATATTTTTTTAGCATTTTATTTGCCTTATCTTGGCATTTTTCCTCTTTATCATAATATTTAACCATTGTATGACAAATATTATAAATAAATTGATTGTCTTCCTTTTCTGAATTTTCTATACAAAATTTCTTAAATTTATCAAAAATAGAACTATATAAGCTGACAGGTATAGTGCTGGAAGCCTCTAGTAGACAATGATTAAAACAGATATGTTTATCGGTAGTATTAAATTTCTGATGCTTAAACCATTCTTTAGGAATTCCAAGAGTTAATGGTGATGGCAAACCACTTATTATTTTTGTATATGATCTTTTAACATCTACAAAGCAAGATGGCATAAGTTCAGTTGTTTGCTATCTGCTGATAGTTGAAATATCATATCTTTTTTATACTAAAGATTTTAACTAGATTATTAGCCAAGCACTTGTGTTTTTAAATAAAATCAACAAAATCCTTTTTTGACCAGCTAAAATCTATGTTATTATTGCTAATAACAAACTTATAATCTATCAGTAAACCCTTAAGACCGAAAGTTTTTTCCAAACGGATATGTAACTAAGTAAAATCTTCCTAACTATCGGCACTAAGTTTTATTATAGTTTTTGATTTGAAGTACTGGAAGTATATAGGAACGAAAATAAAATTAATATATTAGTTAACATAAAGATATACCAAAATTATAATAGTTTTGTAGATATATATGATACCCACCTTTCCCTTTAGCCTGATTCGATGCAGTCGTAGCTATATAAACACTATAAGGCCCAAGTTAATAAATGAAATTATTGTGGAGAAAGCAGTATAGGTTTGGAATATTTGAATATAGTCATAGTACTACTTACTCTGTTCCTCGCTCTTGATTTTATTAACTAACTCTGCAATTGTTTTGGCTAGTCCACCAGAAAGATTGTAAAGGTGAGCTATAAGCTTATTCACATTCAGCTTAAGAAAGGCTAGACCACGAATACAGTTATCTTTAATTGCTTTAATGTCTCCATCTTTAAGAAATAACTTTTTTCTTTATTATAGAACTCTAGAAATTCAATAACTTGATGCGGGCTCTATTCATTAACTTTTTCGGCTAACAGAAGAGAGATATGATCGGACATAGTTGCTTATTTTTTTTGTATTATAAAAGTTGTACAACTTGAGCAGAGAAAACAAAAAAATTTATTTAGCAAGGAATAGTTATACATTTATCTTTTTATAGTTTATACAAACAATCAGATTGTCATACAACAGGTCACACATATATAATTTCTGAATCTGAATTTTTGATCATATATGTGATATTATTGTTTCTTTATAACAATACAATACTCTTGACATATAAACTATATTTTAGTTAAAAGTTTAATAAATCACAAAGTTGAGGCTATAACCCAACATATAGAAATTTCGATTATAAGATGAATTTTTATTCGATAATAAGTTTGCTATAAAGCAGAATTTATTCTAATATCTTGGACAAATTCTCATTATATAGTACCAAATCACTAATTTTGATTTATTTATTAATTATTTGAGGTTTTCTTTAGAACATTTTTACATTCACATTGTCTATATATTCCAATGGCTACTTTTTTGTATGCCTTACAATATA